CACATTTTAATTGTCCGAGATGGAGCTGCAGCTATTATTTAACTTCTTTAATGACACGAGAAAATCCAATTTTTCCTGTTCATGAGAGGGTTGGTAATGCTTATGCAAATTGGTCCAAGTTGCTACACCAGGTTTGGTAGAGCAGATTTTAATTACACACCGACGAGCACCTTATATTTCTGTAGTTAAATGCATGCGTTGTTTTTCCTGTGTGTGTACTAGATAGACAGATTTAATGCTTTTAATGTGTAAGTGAACAGAGTTGATTATCCTTCGCTTACTCCAAACTCTCAGCTGTACCTTCAATAAACTACATGCATAATTCATGCTTTGCTTCATGGGTCTTATTTCCCTCCTTGATACTACAAAAGCATTGATATTTTCCCTCAAACGTGAATCTCCAAATGGGCGGGGCTGTTAGCTTGCAAGAAAGCGGAATTTTAACAGAGTTTTTCTGAGACTTTGTCTGCTCTCCTTCCTGACGGATTTTTGCATACCTTTATTCCATCCAGCCATTAGTGTGGCCACAAGGAAGTCTGGAAACACAGTGTAAACCAGGATATTTAACTGCTCGTGGGATGTGCAGCTCACTTGGGATCTCTCACGCTGCCTGGGATCTCCGGAGGCAGAACAAAAAAAACAGCCAGGCCCTTGTTTAAAGAAATCAGTGAGAACCAGCTCAGGTAGTAACAAAAAGTGAATAATCCCACACCCCACCCCTGAAACCCTCTCACAAGAGTAGGCTAATTTTTAAAAGGAAGCAAGGGAAAAGTTACCGTTCCAAGACGCAGTATCAGGGCCTTTCTTCCTCAAAGGCCCCACCTTCCCTAAAACACATGAACCTACACAAAGAGCAGAGTCTGCAGGATGTGCCTGGACGTCCCCCTCCGACATCCCTTGCAGGGAGGGGAAACCCCTCTCCCATCAATTCAGGAGAAGGGGATTTAGGTGGGATCAGGCTGCCCCTCCCTTTCCTCTGCGAGGGTCCCCAGTTTCGAAAGGACTCTCTAACACGGCTGGGAAGGGCTTGCCACGGCGGCACTCGGCACAGCTGGATGCACAGCTGGAAAACCAGCCCGCTGTGCCGGCTTCTTCCCTCCCACTGCTCCCCTGGGAGCAGCCGAAAGCCCCTGAGACAACTTTTCTCTGAACTGCCCTTTGGAGAAATCTCTCTCCTCACCCCATCTGGGAGCAGCACAGGGTGAGGGCAGCTTAATTTACCCCATGAGAGGTACACCGAGGACCGGGCGTTGTAATTTATTCCCCAACGGCCCACTCTGCTTCCGAGACTTCCCCGCCGACTCATGGCTGGTCTGCCCCAACCTCTCCATGGCTGGAGGATGAGTTCAACCACCCTGCCAGGCTCTGTCTGTCCACGCCAGCGTGATGGCGATGAACCCACCACTGGTTGAGCGTGTCCCTCTGCTCCCCTCCCAGCACAGAGGCTCTGCCCAGCAGCCCAAGTCTGCGGTGCTTTTCTGAGGGAAAACAAGATGGTTTATTGGGTGTGATGAGCAGATCACTAATTATTTTCTAATAAATGACATCCATTAGCAACACCGTCGGGGCTGGGGGGGTGGTGGTGAAAGCCAGATGGATCAGCTCTTGCTGAGAAGGCAAAACCCATCTGCCTTAAGAGGATGTTTTTCAAAATGGTTATCTTCATCTTCTCTGTCTCAATGCATACTGCTCGGACTTCATCTCATTTGTATGTAAATAACAAGCAGAAACACCCAGAAGCTTCCAGGGCCCAAACAGCTCATAATTTATGTTGATCGCCTCCCTGCAAAACAATACCTGCACAGCAAAAGCCAGCCAGCTCCCCAGGGTACCAAAGCAGCCCAGCAGCTCTGGCATTTCTGGGAGAATACCTTTAATCATCCCTGCCCTTCTCAGGCCCCAAGTATTGCAAAACCCATGTTTTCTGCTGCCTGCTTGAAAATGTTCATGCAGATCAGGCTATTTTGGAGATAAAAAAGGCCATAAGCATGTTTTTTGGGGTGGTTACAATGACAAATACTGCTCGGTGTCATCTCTGGACATGCCCTTTGGTAGACTGACAGAGTCTAGTAGAGTTGATCCGAACTGACAGATGCAAAAAGCCACACCAGCCTCTGGGTACGGAGCCCACAAACCTCAGCTCCCGCACACAACAAACCAGCCTGGTGCGTTTTTCACCCAGCCTTTTCATCACCTGCATACCTTGTGGACAGTGGGCTGAAGGAAGAAGAGTGTGGGAGCTTAAAATGACAATTCCCTCTTTCTTGTTGGCAGCCCCACCCTTAATCCCATTATATTCATTCAACTCTAATATCTGATCCGAACCCGTTTGTCAGCTTGAGGACAATCTGCCTTTACTGGGGTCAAGAAAGCATGAAGACAATCTCATTTTCCCATCGCACCCGGGTTTTGAATTTTATGCAAATAATCAAGGCAATAAATGTTCATGAATTTCAAGTGACATCATGGATTTGACGGACGGAGCACTCGGTGTATCAGGAACTGGATGGATGGTCACACTCCAAGAGTTGTGGTCAACGGCTCCATGTCCGAGTGGAGAGCGGTGACGAGTGTGTTCCTCAGGGGTCGGGGTGGGGCTGGGGCTGTTTAACATCTTTGTTGGGGACATGGACAGTGGGACCCAGTGCACCCTCAGTTCACCAGCGACACCGAGCTGTGTGGTGTGGTGACACACCGGAGGGGAGGGATCCGTCCCGAGGGACCTGGACACGGGCTGGAGGGGTGGGACGGGCAAACCTCATGGAGTTCAACAAGGCCAAGTGCAAGGAGCTGCCCGTGGGTGGGGGCAGCCCCAAGCACAAACCCAGGCTGGGCGAGGAGGGGATGGGGAGCAGCCCCAAGGAGAAGGACTTGGGGTACTGGTGCGTGAGAAGCTGGACATGAGCCCACAGTGTGGGCTGGCAGCCCGGAAAGGCCCCGTGTGCTGGGCTGCACCCAGAGCAGGGGGGGCACAGGGCCAGGGGGGGATTCTCCCCTCTGCTCCGCTCTGGGAGACCCCCCTGCAGGGCTGGGTCCAGCTCTGGGGCACCAACAGCAGAAGGACACGGACCTGCTCCAGCGGGGCCAGAGGAGGCCACGGAGATGCTGGGGGGGCTGGAGCACCCCTGTGAGGACAGGCTGGGAGAGTTGGGGGGTTCAGCTGGAGGAGAGAAGGCTCCGGGGAGAGCTTAGAGCGGCCCCCCCGGGCTGAAAGGGGCTGCAGGGAAGGGGGGAGGGACTCTGGATCGGGGGTTGGGGTAGGATGAGGGGTGACAGTTTTAAACCGAGAGGGGAGATTTAGACGAGATCTAAGGCAGAAATTCTCCCCTGTGAGGGGGGTGAGGCCCTGGCACAGGCTGCCCAGAGAAGCTGTGGCTGCCCCCTCCCTGGAAGGGTTCAAGGCCGGGTTGGACGGGGCTTTGGGCAACCTGGGCTGGGGGAAGGTGGCCCTGCCCAGGGCAGAGGCTTGGGACTAGATCATCTTTATGATCCCTTCCAACCCAAACCAGTTTGATTCTGTGCTCACAGATAGATTCAGACCAACATTTTCCAAAAAGAAGCAAGCCACCCAGGAATTTCACGCTGCAATGGGAAATTCTGAGTGGCCCAACTCTCTCGGTTTGAGCCTGCCTGGCAGCATTTCTCCATGGATAATCAGATATTTGGTCTTCTGTATTCAGTAGAACACGAAGCACCTGCTTAATTTTTCTTCCAGAGATGCCAGTGGGATTTCAGCTCCTACTTAATGGTTTTGTAGCACTGTGGCACATGAATGCATTTTGAAGGGCATGTGGAGTCCTGTCCTGCAAATATGTTTAATCTCCAGTCATGCACACAGCATGGGCAATGCCACCAGCACAGCAACGTGTTGAAAACGAACCGGGCCCTTAAATATGAAGAATAAAATACTCTAAACATTACAGTTCCACAAAGTCTGGGATGCCAGAAAATGTTCACCACACCCTATTGAATTTGCTCTTTTTCCCAAGGACTCCAGGAAGTAAAATAAAGAGAATTTGTGGGAGTGTTTTTCATGCTGGTTAAATCTTAGCTTTTGGCAACATTTTGAATGGAAAGGTTTGGAGGTCTTTAAAAGAAATCACAGAGGGAAACTCAAGACTGATTACATATTAATATTAATATGGAAATAATACCATCTCAAAAATCTGGGCAAAGTGTTTTCCAGAAAATCTGCCTCTTTTCACTGAAATGCTTTTTTAGATCGGGATGAAAATGCATCAACCAGATCATCAGCTGGCTGGAGACGTTGCAACAGCAACCCCTGGGTGGGACGGAATTGTCCTCTGGAGATGCCAGTATCTCCAGAAACGAAGCCTGGGAAACCTGCCGAAGACTAAATACCTAATGCTAAATGGACAAAATTTGAGGTGACATTTAAATAACAGTATCTCAGAGGAAAGTCATGGATCGGGACCTCTTTGCACTACTCAGCTCAAACTTGACGGTCTCTGCCTAACTAGTGTGAGTAAGCAGGCTGGATACATTAGAGCCCTGAAAGAGGCGTCGGGCCTCGTGAACATCACGCCTGCGCTCTGTCGTCACATGAAGAAGCCCCACAAAATATTTTTGTTCAGATTTCGCCGTCTTGTTCTAACTGCCTTTCACTCCAGTTAATTCAGAGGACTCTCCACCAAGCTCTACACTGATCTACTGCATCTTGTAATTAGCATAGGGGTATCTGGGGAGCTATTTCTCTTCTTTCACCCTTTTAAATTTATTTTCTTTTGCTTCACAGCTAGGACATGAAACAGGACATAAAACAATACATCCCTGCAAGCATACAGAGGTTTTGCACTAAGGCTGAGCTCTCCCTGCCAACAATCAGGGAGTTAGATAACTCTTCTAGCTGAGCAGATTCGCCCCGGTTCCAATAGGTGTGTTTGAGTGCACTCGGTGTTTAACAAGTTTCAAGAAGACAGCTGGCTGTCTGGCACGTCAAAACCATGAAGGCACTAAATTGATCACTGGACTTCCATGCAACCAAGCCCAGATCCCCAGAGGGATATAAAGGGCATCCTGCGCTCCCTTCCATCAGAGCTGCGCTCTGTTTTCTGCTGTGTCGGGCTGTTTTCTCCTGCTGCAATGAACCGGCAAACTTACAGCATGAGAGGGGGGGGTGGAGGCAGATCTTACAGCGCTGCCTCAGCAGTTATTCCAAGCAGCCACAGGGCTGGCTTTAGTTCGATGTCGATGGCACGCTCTGGAGGAGGTGGAGGAGGTTTTGGAAGGTTCATCGGAGGAGGTGGTGGTGGTGGTGGTGGTGGCGGTTTTGGCAGCAGGAGCCTCTACAACCTTGGCGGTAGCAAGAGGATATCCATCGGTGTTGGAAGCAGCTTCCGAGCTGCTTTTGGGAGTGGAGCTGGTGGTGGCGCTGGCCTGGGAGGTGGTGGTGGTGGTGGTGGTCTTGGTCTTGGTGTGGTGGTGGTGGTCTTGGTCTTGGTGGTGGTGGAGCTGGTGGTGGTCTTGGTCTTGGTGGTGGTGGAGCTGGTGGTGGTCTTGGACTTGGTCTCGGTGGTGGAGGTGGTGGATACAGCTTTGGTGGAGGTGCTGGCGGGCTTGGCTTTGGTGGTGGACAGGGAGGTGGTGGGTTTGGCTTTGGCGGAGTAGGAGGGCTGGGAGGATACAGTGGAGGGCTGGGTAGTGGCAGGAGCCCAGTGGGATTTGGTGGTGGCCCACCTGGAGTTGGTACAATCCAAGAAGTGACTGTCAACCAGAGTCTCCTGGCACCGCTGAACCTGGAGATAGATCCAAGCATCCATCAGGTGCGAAAAGATGAGAAGGAGCAAATCAAGACCCTCAACAACAAGTTTGCTTCTTTCATTGACAAGGTAAGACTTTATCAGGTGCTGTGGAATTGTGGTTGAGAGGGAGACGGTCTTGGAGCCACAAAACCACAACTTCATAGATCTACAGTCCACTGCATGTTTCCTATCTGCACGTCTTCATTAAAGTAATCAAAAAAGAATGTTCTTCTAAACAGTTACAAGGCAGAAAATTAGGCTAGAAGCTAGTAGTAAGACGATTAGATCCAGGTTTTGTGCCTGAGAGATAAGATACATGAGCTCAAATGGAGTAAGGCAGTTTCAGGCCCAGATCTGGCTGCTTAAGCCGGCTCTCTCTGTGGGGAATTGCAGCAGATGTGTTAGTCCTTACTGCTTTATTGCCTGCAAGCTGAAGTCCTTTTTATATTGACTCAGCTTAGGTCCTTCCTTGGCTTTTACTTGGGTAAATATGTAGTATAAATGAGCAATTAAGTACTTGTCTTTTAACCTGTAGTACTCAGATCTTAGCTTTAATGAAGGAAGATAAATATCTCTTACAAAGAAAGAAAAAAAAACAAACCCAAAGGATGTTAAAGAAAGCAAGTGATGAAAGAGCTGAACCCACATTTTCTAATGATTGCTCATTGGCTTGCTAAACTAAATTGTCTCTGAAGAGAACTGTCCACTGAGGGCTTAGCTACTGGATGGGCTAACACAGCCCTAGATAACCTGGAGGATATTCACAGCTGGATTTAGTGCTCCTGGTTTGGGATTTCCATGGTTTGTGCATCAGGCCCAGTTGCTGATGACTGGCCACCGGCATCTTCTGCTAAGCCTCTTCTGCTTCCCAATGCTCAGGTTCGCTTCCTGGAGCAGCAGAACAAGGTGCTTGAGACCAAATGGACCCTCCTGCAGGACCAAGGTCAAAAAAACAGCTCAGGCAAAAGCAATCTGGACCCACTCTTCGAGGCTTACATCAACAACTTGAAGCGGCAGCTGGCCAACCTGCTCAACGAGAGAGGACGCATGGACGGGGAACTGAAGAACATGCAAGACCTCGTTGAGGACTTCAAGAACAAGTGAGGGCCTGTTACCGGCACATCCAGGCACCCTGGGGTGAAACAGGATGCGTTAGGCAGTAGGGTTAATCTCGCTTAAATTCTGAAGGTCAAACATCTAGCCTGAGATATTCATCAAACTTTCTATGGGAAAGGGAAAAAAAAGTCTCTCCAGTCTGTGCTCTAGCCCTAACTAATCCCATTCTGATATACCACTCCTGCGAGTCTCTCTCTTTGCAGAACCCCCCCTCTTCCTCAACAGGAGCAGAAAGGTGATCCATTGACATTTTTCTAATCAGAACAGCCAGATTCAGCCAGGACACAACACCTTGTGATGACACTTGCAAAGGAAAATAATCAAACCCAGTTTTCCCCTCCTTGTTCCATCTCCATTGTGTCAAAATGTTGTTTCAATCATTTGAGAAATGGGATTCCCACAAATTTCATTTGGGCAGTTTCCAGGAAAACACCATACCCAGCCCAGAAAACCTTGCAGTCCTACCCCTACAACTTTTCTGCCTGCGGAGGTAGGATACAGTATGTCTTTCTCTTTATCCCTGCAGATACGAAGAGGAAATCAACCGACGCACAGCAGCGGAGAATGAATTTGTGGTGCTGAAGAAGGTGGGTGAGACGGGAGGTGTTATGGATGCTGAGCTAGACCGAACTGCTGCACAGGTTGGGAATGTCCTAGAGGATGGGAGATCTCATGGAGCTGCATCCTCATCCTCATCCAGCTGTCATTTGGATTGTGGTTTTGGGGGAAAGGAATGGAAGGGCTTGGAGGATGGAAATAAATTCTTGTCCCATTCCTGTCTCACAACATACACACATGCTTGCCTGGGCAAAACAGATCGTGTAGAGGCAAAGATGGGCAGTAGTGCCAGGAACCCCAGGTACAACGGCCGAATGGCCCTTACCCGCCACCAAACTTACACCCAGTACTTCTTCTGGCCAAGAGATGCGCTCCTGGTGTTCTTCCAAGGGGGATGTGCCCAGCACAGCTTCTCCAGTCAGGCAGCACCACCGCAGCAGGGGACGGGGCAGCCTCACCTCCAGGCTTGGCCAGATCTTGGCCAAGAAGAGGTACCAGGTGCTGCAGATGTCCCCATGGTTGCTCTTTTCCAGGACGTGGATGCTGCTTACATGAACAAGGTGGAGCTGGAGGCCAAGGTGGATGCCCTGACCGATGAACTCAATTTCCTCCGAGCCCTCTACGATGCGGTACAGACACCCTCCTCCCCCGATTTCTGTCCCGTGTCACCCCCTGGGCAGTGACTGCTGCCATTCATGGCACCTGGGAAGGTAAGTGCAGCGGGCCGGGATCCTGTGTGTTCTCCCGCAGGAGCTGGCTCAGCTCAGTGCACAAGTGTCCGACACCGCTGTCATTCTGTCCATGGACAACAACCGGGACCTGGACCTCAGCAGCATCATAGCTGAAGTCAAAGCTCAGTACGAAGACATCGCCAACAGGAGCCGGGCCGAGGCGGAGGCTTGGTACCAAACCAAGGTGAACAGACCCATAGATGCCATGCATGCGTTTCTGGGGGAAATTACTACTGTCCCTATATGAGGCTGTTTGAGACACGTCGTGTCCACCTGGACATCTCAGATGGTTTATTCTTCCTTCTGAACCTCAGTTTGAGGAGCTGCAGGCCACAGCTGGGAAGCACGGGGACGACCTGCGCAACACAAAGGGGGAAATCTCTGAGCTCAACCGGCTAATCCAGAGGATCCGGTCGGAGATAGAGAACACGAGGAATCAGGTATGAACGGCAAAAGGAGCCTGTGGAGCCCCGTTGTGTGGTCCCTTAGCACCACAGCTCTGCTTTGCTGAGGGGGGAATTTAGCAGCCACTGAGTATGATGCATCTCATTAAACATGTTGAACTCTCTCCTGAAAACGGCACCGGGCTGTCACACGTATTAAATCATTCTTGCCAGGCTGGCATTTCAACTCCAGCAGTGTTAGCTATGGGTGAACGACTTCAGCCATAACTTTCTTCATTAACACTCCCCCCAAGCAGAATGGTTTTCTTCCTTGGGGGACTCTTACCCCAAAAGACAAGCAGCATTTAGGAGTCCCAATCGCTCCTCTTGCAGTGTGCCACCCTGCAGACAGCCATCGGAGACTCCGAGGAGCGCGGGGAGCTGGCCCTCAAAGATGCCAAGGCAAAGATAATTGACCTGGAAGATGCCCTGCAGAAGGCCAAAGCTGACATGGCCCGGCAGCTCCGAGAGTACCAGGAGCTGATGAACGTCAAGCTGGCCCTGGACATTGAGATCGCGACCTACAGGAAGCTGCTGGAGGGCGAGGAGAGCAGGTAGGGGCAAAATCCCTGCAGGAATAATAGCGACTGTCGCTTTGCCCCTTGCCAGCAGTTGTTCCTCTTGCCTGTCTCTTTCCTTTTGCTCTAACCTCCCCTTTATCTGCCCTCCAACAGGCTCAGTGGAGAGGGACTCAACCCCATCAGCTATTGTAAGTATTGCAGCACTTGTCTTGCTTTGGGCCCATTGGGAACAGAAGCTGTGATCAACCTTGGGAAAAGGGAGGTTTTGCCCAATACAAGACGTTCAGGGCCCTTCACCAGTGCCAGTGGCTTGCACAGGGGACAGAATTTGGGTCAAGCCCTGTGGGTCAAGGTCCTGATGATGGTGCTTTCTGCAACTGGGTGACTGCCAAGCAGATGTCCAACCTTTTGGTTTTTCTTGCAGCTGTCATCAGCTCAAACTCTGGCATGGCTGGTGGGGCTGGGTTTGGAGGAGGATTTGGTGGACTGAGCCTCAGCGGAGGAGGCGGCGGAAGCGGTTTTGGTCTTGGAGGAGGAGGCGGAAGCGGTTTTGGTCTTGGAGGAGGTGGCGGTGGTGGAGGCTACAGCTTTGGAAGTGGAGGAGGACTTGGACTCGGGGGGGGTGGTGGTCTCGGAGGTGGATACGGAGGAGGCAGCGGTCTCAGCACTGCAAGTGGTCTTGGCTACGGAGGAGGTGGCGGCAGCGGTCTGAGCACCAGTGGAGGGAATTTCAGCTCTGGAAGTGCAAAAGGCACCAACCCAGGTGTGAAAATCGTCTCTAAAACCTCCTCCAGCAAAAAGAGCATAAAAAGCCAAAGCCTGAAGAATGCTACACAGCCTGAGTAAAACCGACACCAGACCCTCCCCAAACCCACCGCTCCCACACTGCTCCTGCACACCGCCATCCCCTCCACCCACCTCTGCCCCGGCTCCTCCCTCCGTAGTTCTTAAGCATTTGGATCACAGTTCAAGAAAAGCAGTGGAGCACGTGTTAACCAGATCTCAAAGTACCCGAAACAGGATTAAAAGGAAAACAAGGGCCTAAGTGATTTTTCTGACTGGGGAATTGTGGGGTTTTTGTTTGTTTGCTTTTAATGAGGCTGAGCAGCTTGTTTGTAATTGTGACAGCCATCAGCTAAGGCAGATCAAATAGCAGGGAAGAGGCAATAACTCGGGGGTTTTAGCTCAGTTCTGGCTCAGAGAAGCCCAGGGATGGGCTGGGAACTTGCTTTCAGTTCAGCCCACTTTGCCTTCACTGCTGGGATGAACCAAACTCACTGCGTCAAGCTAAGCAACTCATCTTTATCAGAGATGTGGGTTATTTTTCTGCTATGTAGAAATATCCCAGGAGGTTGCTGGAAGATCCCAGGCAGTGGTTTGCAAGTGTGGGACCCCTCTTAAAATCCCTTATTATGGGAGCACAGAGCCCATTGGGAGTCACTTCTGAGTCACTCGAGTGTGACGGGAAATCCCTCTTTTCACAGCTGAGCTTGAAAAACCGTGTTTCTTCCAGATGTGCTGAGCACGGCAGCTGTGTGAAGTCAGGCACACAAGCCTGGCCAGTGGCTCAGAATATTAGGAAAGCAATCTCAGATGCCTTCTTCTGAAAAGTACCACCCACAGGGCTGTGGATTCCACTTGCAATGAGCTTATCTAAAAGGAAGCCCAAACTACCCTTCCATTCCTGTCCTTCCTTTTCTTAAATGGAAGTTTGCCCATAGTGGCACCTTGCATTTAATCTCGCGGATGTATTTTGTCAGAGAAGCCATCAGTGACTGATCAAAAATATATGGAAAAGGGCTTGTTTTCTAAATGATAGGATTTTAAAATTCTAAATAATAACCGAGGCAGAGAGCTCTTCAAAAGCAAGATCGGTGCGTGCAGTTAAATTGGGTTGCTGTCCTGTCTCGTGCTAGGTTTTGTCGGAATGGCTTAAAAAAAAAAAAAAAAAAAAAGTCAAAATCAATCCCACAGTCCGAGTCTCTCTGCCTTTCCCCACTGTTGCAGTAGCAGCAGTCGAGGCGAAAGTCTGAGACAGTGGAAGTTGCACTGAAAAAACTGCCCGAAGGGCCATGTCCACACTTCTCCTTGGGGGTATTTCAGCATCTCCACTAGGTTTCTGTATGAAAAGAAAGACATTTGGTAAACTCAGAAGTGCAGTCAGATTTCAGCCCGGCACACGGGAAACGAGGCGATCGGGAGCAGGAGCCCAAAGGCACACCAGTGCCCCAAATCTACTTTCCCCTTTCTGATGGAATTGACCTCTCCAGCCTTCCAACTTGTCTTTTCGGTTTTGTGAAAATACCATTAAAAATAAATTTTAAAAAATTGCAGCTTTTTATACTTCAGTGATAGTGATATGACAGTGTTTTCCTTCCTCTCTCTCTTTTTGGAATGTGCCCAATAAAACTGGATTGTAATTTATTTATTCCTACATCTTTTTATTCTAAAAGAGAACCGACGTCATTAACTGTTCCTAACCTTCAGCAGAGTGAGCTGGAGGGGGATTTTGCTTTACTGTGGGGGAGAAGTTTCCAAATTCTGATAAAGTTGTAATGAAAAGTTTGAAATCAGTTGTCCCAAAACAAATTGAAGAATCAGAGGAAAGGAGAAGGAGGGTGGCAAAAAAAAAAAAAAATCAGTATTACTTTCTTAACATATGATTTGGGTTAATCCAAAAGTTTTTCTTCCATGGAAGGGAGAGTTTTGCACAGCTCTGCCAGCTCAGGCAAAACCCCAGTGTTTAATTTTTGCTTTTGTAAAAGAACGACGCTTATAGAGAGTTCTGGGGGAGGATTTTATCAGGACAATCTAGACTGACGATGGGTTTCGGTGAGCTGGAACAGAGCAACTCACCAACCGATGCAGGCATTTTGGTCAGCCGTCATGGCAAAAAGAGAATGAAAAAGGGGGGAAAAAAAAGCAAAACCCTCAGACACATACTCAGACCTTATTGCATTTCAAAGAGTCAGACGCTTGGCTCTTCCCTGACCTCTCAGCATCCCGGCTTTATGTAACTCGGTGCAGCAAACGGGAAAGAGCAAGCAAGTACACGCCAAGCCCAGCAGGTTTACAAGTGCTTGAGCAAAACCTCAGTGAAACCCAGACGCACCGAAACACGGGAGCGTCAAATCTCCCTTCACCCAGAAAATCGCAGGAGCTGCAGCACGAAGCACCAAAGTCTGAGGACAAAACCCAACTCCTCGGCCCCTGCTGTGGCAGAGGGTGTTGCAGACGCACAGGCCAAAAGTTAGCAAAGGTTAAAAATAAACTCTGAGTCACCTCGTTTTCTGTACTCGCCTGTGCAAATGCTGAATTACACAGCACGGGTGTGAGGAATTAATACAGGTAATGACAACCTAACCTTAACTAACCTTAAAAGTTTTTAATGTCTTTATTCCAGCCTGCGCTGAAAAAAAAAAAAAAATGCCAATAAGAGTCCAGAAGTGGTGCTCGCGGGCAGCTGAGCTCCTGCACACATCTCAGCTGGCCCCGTTCCGCCTCCCTCTGCTCTGCGTCCCCAGCCCACCCACCACCCTCCAGGCAACCCCCCCGCAGCAAATCCTGCTTCCCAAACTTTCTGCAGGCAACTTTCCTGTCCGAGGGGGACAAACACAGCCCTGAGCAGCCTCAGGAGGACGGTGCCTGTGTGAGTGACACAAGCCAAGCGGAGAAACTGTGTGGGACTGAGAGATCCTGCAAGAGTTTCCCTTGTTTTGGTGCCTAAACCATCATTTGCTTTACACTTCTAAATCCTTTGTAATGTTCCACTTAATTACTGTTGTCTGCAGCAACAGGCTTTCCTAGAAGAGCTGGGGAGGTAATGACTGCCTTCAACACGAACCCTTTCTCTTCGCTTTAATTAAAACTCTCGCAGGCTGTGCTCTGGTTCCCAGGTGTGACTTTGCATAGCTCTTTGGAAGTCAAAGGCAGGCTCGCTGCCTGGCCACCATCCACAGGATCTGGCACACATGTGCCAGTTCACATCTGCAGGCTCGGGAAAGCAAATCTCCATACATCTGCAATGCTTCTAGCAGAAATAATTTATTTTCCCTGTCAGCATAACCCCAGTGGTGTTACTAATGAGGTTACCTGCTGCTGTGCCTCAGCTCTGAAGGGTGGGTGTGTGTCGGGGGGGATGTTCGTTGCTTCTGGACGTGGGAGCGTGGGTGCAGTTTTCCCTGCGAAACTCTGCGTTTCCAGCACCCAGGATGTTCCCGTGTCTCCACTCCCGAGGCGAGAGCACCCCCTTGCTACCGCCCAGCTTCTCCCTTCCCGCGGAGGGTGCCTTGCAACAGCCCGTCCAAGGATCGGCTTCCCCATAGCTCGCCCGAAGGCGCTGCGGGTGCCCGTGACTCACACGATTGGCAATAAGCAGCCACAGGAGGGCTTGGGGAGATGATGGTAGTGAGCGCTGGCTTCTTCTGATTGCAACGAGAAAAAAACCCGATACAAAACAAAACAACAAAAAAAACCCTTCTGCTCAGGTTCTTTCAAGTTCCCAGACGGAGAAAACGGCAGTTGGAAACACATCAACAGAAACAAGCTACGAGATGCAGCAGATACCCTTGAGCTGCTCGTTTTGGATCAGGTTCCTCTACTCATTGCTCACGTAGCCGATTTAGAGAATATTTTTGATTTATCTGCTCAGGGTTTCATCTCTCTGCCCTGCGCTATTATTTTATCTACCATACAACCTGGCTGAGGTGGGTAACCTTGACGGCACAAGGATGTGGCTGGGCAGAATCCAGTTTGCAGAATTATTTTGGGTGGGAGGGAGCGGGTATCTTCTCTTGTAACCTGTGTCCAGCTCTTCATGGACACAAGAGAAGAGCCCCCCATCTCTTCTGCCTTTACACCATCCTAAAGCACGACCTAGCCTCATCGTGCAGCTCGAAGCTCCTGGGTGAGGGTTCATCCAAGAGCCCAAGATCAAGAGGCAAAGGCTACTTTAGAAAAATTTTCCGACTGAACGATCACAGCAGAGTGAGGAAGGGGGGTGCCAGGAGCTGGAGGAAAAGTGGGTGAATTCCCCTTCACAGAACATCTTGGAGAGCCAACAATGACGTGGAAACTGCCGGTTAAAAACAGGGGGGTGGAAAAAAAGTGATAAAAATACCACTTCACAGGGAGCTTTTGAACCCTGAGCCTGACAAGGAGATTCAAAAGAAGAGCAATCATTTCCAGCATCTTTTTAATAACTATTTGATAAGTCTCGTAGTACTATTGAATGTTATTTTATTTTGGAAAAGGGATTTACTTGTTCTCTTTGAAAGCCATGCCAACTCATTCCTCAGTTTCCCCCACAATGAGGGATGACAAATTTTTTGTAAGATCCCCGAAAATACCGCCACAAGACAACTTCCACTCAGCTCATCTCTGCAAACCTGTGATCACTCAGATCCCTTTCCTGAAAGAAATCCAAAGAGCTGCACTGATAAGTAAAACTACCCTCAGCCCCACCTTTCCCAAGCCAGTCCCAGAGCTGGCAGCCTTGGAAAAGCCCCGATTTCTGCTGCCCTGCTTGCTGCGCAGTGTGTTAAACCCTAAATTTCACCTTGCAAAAGCTTCGGTGCAAGGAACTTTACTCAGGCGAGCAAGCCTTTGGCTTGCCTAAGGAAAACCAGCTCCCAGGGTCTTGGGAGAATCATGTTGCATCCTGTCCCTGAGTGCAGACCTCAGCGAGTCGTCCCATTCAATTCTAATTTCATGACTCAGAGCGGCAGGCTTTGGTAGAGGGGGGAGCTCCCTCACTCCGTTACTTTCTTGCCTGCAAACAATGCATTTTTCAGAGCCTCGCCGTAGCCTAGGTGTGTTTGACAAGGCAAGTTGCTGCAAGGCACGTCAAGTTCTGAATTCCCGTGCCAAGTTTTCCAAGCAGATAAAAGAGGAGGCTCCCAAGCTCTCCCAACACAGGGGTTTCTGTCTCCATTGCCCTCTGCTCCTTTCCTGCTGCGCAGCTTTTATTCACCAGCTTTTTTTTTTTTTTTTCCCCTCTCCTGCTCTTTGCGTTTCCAATTGAACAAGCCACCATGAGTCGGATCTCTTTCAGATCATCTACTGGAGGGGGCATGAGGGGCTTTAGCTCAGGCTCTGCTATCGTAGGAGGTGGCAGTGGTGCCAGAAGCAGTTTTAGCTCTGTCTCTGTCTCCAGAGTTGGAGGAGGAAGAGCCGGAGGTGGAGGAGGCTTTGGAGCTGGTGGTGGCTTCGGCAGCAGAAGTCTCTATAACCTAGGTGGAAGCAAAAGAATTTCCTACAGCTCAGTCGGTGGAGGTCTACGGAGTGGAGCCGGTGGTGGATACGGCTTTGGTGGAGGAGCTGGGTTTGGTCTTGGCTATGGTGGTGGAGCAGGCGCTGGTTTTGGCTTAGGAGGAGCTGGTGGTGGTGGCGGCTATGGGCTGGGCAGTGGATTTGGGCTGGGACATCCAAATAGTCGAGGTGGCCCCGGGTTCCCTGTTTGCCCACCTGGTGGCATCCACGAAGTGACCGTCAACCAGAGCCTCCTGGCACCCCTCAAGCTGGACATTGACCCGGAAATCCAGAAGGTGCGGACACAGGAGCGGGAGCAGATCAAGACCCTCAACAACAAATTTGCCTCCTTCATCGACAAGGTGAGAGTTTGGTCTTAAACATCAAGCCATGCATATTATCAGTTGCCTCGGGAAAAAATAACAGGAAGAATCTTCCTTTGGATTTAGGGGCTTGCCTGAACCGATCCCAGACAAAAAACCAGCATGGGTTTGGCTGAGAACTGTCTTATGTTTCTTCTTTGAAAGGATGAGTTTTTCAGCATCTTATTTTATTGAAAAAGTAAATCCCCCTCCTCCCTGTAAAAAAAACATCCCGGAGGCTTGATGGATCTTCTGCTTGTTGCAAAATGGCAAAGCTCTACACAACTCAATGGGATAACACCAGTTTAAACCAGTAAAGGTGGGCTGAGCATCTAGTGGGGGGAGAAGGACCCAGAGGTGCTTACCCTGCTTAATAGCTCTTGAAAAATCTTGCTAAACATCTTAGAGGCTTTTGATACTTTTGAGGATCCGGTGCCCTAAGTCAGAAGATCCAAATAATTTGACCGCAAGTGTCCCAGCATCTCTTGACTGTTGGGTTTTTTTTGGGGGGGGTGGTTTGTTTTTTTTTTTTTTTCTTTTTTTCCCTGTGTTGCATGATCCCCCCTTTTCCTGGCAGCGGAATTTTTTGTGCGTTGTTCGCTTGGGCTTCAGCATGTGCCTGTTTTGTTTCTCCCCAGGTGCGCTTTTTGGAGCAGCAGAACAAAGTGCTGGAGACCAAGTGGAGCCTCCTCCAAGAGCAAGGTCACACCGTTACCAGGAAATCTCTTGAGCCCCTTTTTGAAGCTTACATCAACAACCTCAGGCGGCAGCTAGACAGTCTTCTAGGGGAGAGGGGACGCTTGGACTCTGAACTGAGGAACATGCAGGACATGGTGGAAGACTTTAAGAACAAGTAAGAAATCGTGTTCTGTAGCATAAATGATTAACAAACGGGAAAATCAGGGCAGGCGGTTCATGCTCGCTGGCGCACACCTTTGCATTTGCACTGTGTTCCTCTTCCAGTTTGCAAAATGAACATATAAAAGCAAAACTTGGTCTTAGAATTACCTCTAGCTACGTCTGCGGGAGCGGCGTTTAGCACAGCATCCACGCACCCGCGGGAAGCTGCTCCAGTGTAAGGGAGGTCATGGTCTGATCCTTTGAGTCTCCTAAAATAATACACCTGGAGACGGAAAAAAAAAAACGTAACACATGAGTGTATGGACATACAAAAAGGGAATGAAACATTGACGTAAACTCCCAGCTCCCAAATCCCCCGTTTCTCTTCTTGCAAAGGAAATCCCCGCCTTTCCAGAGGGCCCCAGGCGACCCGCGTGCGCTCACCCCCGCTCAGCTCTGACCACGTGAAGGATGCTCAGCTCTTTCCTCTGACTTGTCAAAGAAAATTATTTCCCTGGGGAAGCAAATTAATCCCCTCCTGAGATAAGGTGTCCAGCGGAGGTGGGACATGCCAGTCTGCACCTGATGACTCTACGGGACATTTAGTTGCTTTTTTTGGGGGGGCGAGGCCATTCATTTTTAGTTGACTGTAGTCTGGTAGAACAATCTCTCCCGTATTCAACCAGATCTGGCCAAGTGCAAATTTGAGAAAAACACCTTGGAGACCTGAAATAGGTTTGTATTAGATAGTTGAGCATGTGAAGAGAGATTTTTTGGGCGGGGATGGGGAGATGGCACTTAGAGCTGACAGGGTGAACTGACATAGCTTCTGGTATGTTGTACTTGGGCGCCTTTCAGGTCTCGATGTGTATTATGGGCTTTTAGAAATACTGATCTGGCCAAAAATGACAAATTATATCGTCTGGAGTTCGGAGCTACTGCCTGGGAAAGAGAGTGCATTTTGTTTCAAGTCTGGGATTGGTTTTCAGTCCACTGGCTCATTTCTATTTCTTCCCATGTCCACTCGGAGATGCATCTGCAGGGATATTTCTGCCAATATTAGTTAGAGGACTGGCTCAAACCTGCCTTTAAAATCCAGGTCTTTGCCTCAAGAGCCTACATGTTTTGTCTACTTTCTAGCTAAGCCCTGCCCTGATTATCTGATGAGAGGATGTTGCTCAGAGCCATAAAAAGTTCCACAGAAACACAGTCTGAGGCATAATGATCTCCTCTTGCACAACCATGGCTAAAGAATCACATTTTTTTTTTTTTTTTTTTTTTTTTTTTTTTTAATTAAATGCTGCAGCGGGTTATTCCGAGCCATTAGCATTATTATAATATCAAATATCAAATAGTTACGTTATTATATATTTGTAGGTATTGCAATGCAGCTTTGTTGAAAACCTTTTGTATAACTTTCCTTTGGGCAAAGGTCACCGAGAACGTCTGTTCCTGCTTCCTGCCGAAACGGGCTCTGATCCTGCACACATTTCTCTATGAGCTTGACTTTAAGGGCAGTGATAAAAATCTATTCATTTTAGCTGGGACTACTCACACCATGGAGTCTTGCAGGTTCAGAGTCAGCGATCATCGGCTTTGCTCTGGACTGTAGACAGACGGGAGTAAGGAATATATCTGTCAGCCACAACCAAGGATTTGGGACTGGAGTGGTCCCATCTCTGCCTCCCATGATGGTTTTGCTCTTCATTCCCATCAAAACCCTCTCACTCTTTTATCCGAACAGATATGAAGATGAGATCAACCGGCGCACTGGTGCGGAGAACGAGTTCGTGGTCCTCAAGAAGGTGAGTGAACTGGGAGTTATGGGACAGACATTGAAATGAACTCGCATGCACAGAGTTCAAGCAAAGCGGATGGGCGCTGGGGTCCTCCAGCCTCACTGTTGGGTCAGGATTCGATGCCGGTGCATCGAGGCGTAAGGGCTGGGTCCTCCTGGGGCCAGGGATGGGCAGAGCCTTTGCCGTGCCAATGGAGCAGCCCTGATTTCTGAAGATATCTCCTCTGGTTGCCGGGCCGAACCATCTGGCCTTCTGTGGCTCTGGTTAACTCTGTCCCTGGTCACATCCCTGTGAGTCAGAGCTTTGCTCTCTGCCTAAGAGCCTGGTTCTGGTTCACAGTAAATGTCCGACCTTATATTAAAAAAGAAATACCTTGATCATAGCAATATAAAAAGAAGCCTAAGGAATAACAGACCTGGAAGCAGAGAGATGGTCCCACTGGTGTCCTGAAGCCACTTTGGCTTGCGGTTTCATCTTTGGTTTTCTTTTCTTTAGGATGTGGATGGTGCTTATATGAACAAGGTCGAGCTGCAGGCCAAAGCAGATGCGCTGGCAGATGAAATTAACTTCCTGAGAGCTCTTTACGAAGCGGTAAGCAGTTGGCCTCCGTGACAGCATCCTCCCCAGCTCCCTGCTGTTCAGTTCTCCTCCTCCCAGATCTCCAGCCACCACGCTCAGTGCTGTACGGTGGTAAAAGAGAAGGTGGTCACTGCCTTTTTGAAATTACAATGCAGGCATAAGATGGAGAAGGGTAGATAGTTAGAGACAGAGGCGGGGGAAATGAGAAAAAAAAGTCTCAGTGGGGAGAGCTCTCAAGCCACCTCTTGTCTGCGTGGTTTCCACCACAAATACCAGACCATTAACTTCATTTTTTGCATCTTCTGCAGGAATTGTCCCAGATGCAGCAGCAAGTATCCGACACCTCTGTGGTCCTGTCCATGGACAACAACCGTAACTTGGACCTCAACAGCATCATTGCGGAGGTCAAAGCGCAGTACGAGGACATCGCCAACCGGAGCCGGGCTGAGGCGGAGGCTTGGTACCAAAACAAGGTGGGTAACCATGGGGGGCAGCACTAATGGCGGAAGGATCACAGCATTACACTGGAGGTTCATTTGTTTTCTCTGCGTGTTACAATAGGCTCTTGCACACAGATCCCCAGTGTTGGCTTGTGGAGCGCTACTGTTGACCAGCCTTACATTCCTTGCAGTGAAACCAAGGGACAAGATGCTTAAATGCCTTGACCCTGGGCTCACAAGGAGTCACTGGCAGCCTGGCCTTAGACACAGTGCACTCTTTCCCTCCCAGGTTCTCAACAGTAGGCGACAATGCACAGGTGCTCTACGCAATGAAATAGCTGCTGCCTTAGCATATACTGATCACTAGAGGCACATGCTGCTGTTGCATGGGCAGGTTGCTCAGAGGAATGTTGTCCCCCACACTTAACCCGCATCCAGACCCGCACTTTGTGCCCTGAAGTCCCCTCACCCTGCCCTCAGCCCCGTGGTGCCTCACCGGTGCTCTCCTCCTTTCTACATACCAGTACGAGGAACTCCAGGTCTCTGCCGGGCGACACGGTGACGACCTGCGTAACACCAAGATAGAAATTTCAGAAATCAACCGGATGGTCCAGAGGCTGCGGAATGAGATCGAGAGCGTGAAGAAACAGGTAGGAGGGGGATTCTCCTGCAGAGTAGACGCTGCGTGGCGGGAGGCAGGCAGGAGGTGATGGTGGCCAGGCGCGGCAGAGCCAGCTCCTGGGGCTGGAGCAGGGCTGGACGGCCAGGCCTTCCCTCTGCACTAAGGAGGGCATGGCCACCCCTGTCTTTGCTCACCAGAGAAGGTCATCTCAGAGCAAGGATGTGCTGTGACAGTTGCTTTCTTGCTCTAGAAGCAACTTGTGAGCTACCAAGCTCCCCCAGCAAAGGTGTGTAGCGAAGCAGCGATGTTGGTGTCTGCTTTTCTTGGGGAACAGGAGCGTGGCTGCAGCCAGGAGCTGTCAGTGCCATCCTGGGAGCCACCAGCCAGCATCTACAATACAAGAGCAATACCAGGAGAGCAATTTAGGGTAGCCCAGGATAATCAACTATCTGTTTTCCTTACTTTCAGTGTGCCAACCTCCAAGCAGCCATCACCGAGGCGGAGGAGCGCGGGGAGCTGGCCCTCAAGGATGCCAAGAACAAACTGGCTGAGCTGGAGGATGCCCTGCAGAAGGCCAAGGCTGACCTGGCCCGGCAGCTCCGTGAGTACCAGGAGCTGATGAACGTCAAGCTGGCCCTGGACATCGAGATCGCGACCTACAGAAAGCTGCTGGAGGGCGAGGAGAGCAGGTGGGGGAAGCACATGGACCTGTCGTGTGCTGCTCTTCAGAGCAGGGCACATTCCTTGGGCTCATAGAGACAGCTCACCCCAAGAGGCTCGAGCACCAAGTGGTGTAAAACAAGGGCAGAGAGAGGGATTGTTTTAAATCATGAGCTTTGTAGGGAAATATTAGTTTCTCCACCACTTGGCACCTGATGCAGTAATAAAAATGAGCATTATTACCTTTCATACAGACATGTCCCACCAGCGGACAAGCCCTACTGAAGGCCAAAAAAAGTCTAATTAGATGGTCTCTGTGGCTAATGTTGTATGTTGTCTATGCTTTGGCATTATTGCTTACTTTCCCCTCTCCCACCAGGCTGGCTGGAGAGGGAGTCGGAGCCGTGAGCGTCTGTAAGTATCCCCCCACCTTCCACCCCTGCTGGCTCAGCCCCTGCCGCAGGGGTGATGGTCCAGGTCCCCCCATCCTGGGGAGCCGGCAGGACCCCAAAGCGGGTGTGTGCTCTGTCTCCCTGCAGCCGTGGTCAGCAGCTCCAGCGGGATGGGCTACGGCGGCGGCGGCAGCTGCCTGGGCATGGGCGGAGGTCTCGGCATGGG